CCCCCCCCCCCCCCCCCCCCGGTCGAGCCCTCTGGATTCTTGAGCACCCCCATCCCATATTTGTGTCTGATGCGACTTTTCTCACAGCGGTCAAAACATTCATCAACTAGGTGCCGAGGCAACATTCAGGTGGCGTATCAACACCTCAACTCCACAGACAGATACATTCACATGCCAACTCCAACAAAAGGTATCCTGGCACGGCTTGCCGGCACATGGCGCCCCCCCAGCAAGTTGGCAGATGATCCCCTCGACAGGTATGCTACTCGGGGAAAATTGACCGAGGGGTACGCAGCTCGACAGCTCGCCGGACCCGCAACCCTTACATCATGCAGCAACGGGTGGCACCGGTCGAATCCTCACACTACACGCACGAGAAGGCCTGCATGAGCGAGGAGAAGCAAATTCAAGCATGCCACTCGGACACGCACACCCACTCACCGTGTACTCGGCACGGCAAATGACTTGACTGCCACGCTCCAGTTGCACGTTGATGGTGTTGTCAAACTCAAAGTCACGGAACGAAGTCCACGCAATATCGCCTGTCAACCCATTTGAGGATCCAAATCAGTGGAGAACTGCGTTTTTGCCAAGCTACCAACCAGACCATAGTCCCGTCCTCCCCGCTTCTTCTTCTGCTGCTTTTGCGGCGTCACACATTTGCCGAAACAAGTCACATACCTGGCCGGTGGCTCTGCTCGCCCAAACCGGAGACCACACGAACAACCTGGCCCACAGCCACCACGTGGCCATGGGGCATCACAAGCGTCTCGGACACGCGGCCGTTGTCCACCGTCAAGACGCAGTCATCAAAGTTGATGGGCTCCTGTCCAATGTTCTGCAGGTGCAGATCAAAGCCGCGATCCAAGTCCACTGACTGGATCTGGATCTGGCCGTTGGAACTCATGCGCTGCGTCCACGCCTCCTCAACTTCCTCAGTCATGTGGCGCAGTTCAACGCTCATGTCAAGGTCCTGCTCCCCGGCTTGCTCATCCCGCTGCGCGCTCAGCTGTACATGCCATCAGGGTCACCCGCATTAGCCGGGTGGCAAAATAAAATTAACATTGGAGCAAGGGCACAGAAAAAAAAAAAAAAAACTCGTCAACGACAGGCTTGGGGGCGGTCACGCCAACGTACCGGGGAGCCCACCAGCTGGTCCATCGCGTCGAGCGATTGATCATGCATGTTGAGGCGCTTGTACTCCTCACCCAGCAGGCCACGATATTGATCAATCTCGGCGTCCAGAGACAGACTGCAACAAAGAAGGAACAAACAACAAAACAGGCAGGGGGGAAGGTGGGGAAAGCAAACGATGCTCGCGTGAGAAAGCGGTGTAGACTCGCACACCAAGCTGGCTGGCAGGCCAAAAACTGACTTGCGGTCGAGCAGGACGCGGTATTGGTCCTCAAGACCCGAGATGCGTTGTTGCAGGTTCTTAATCTCCATGTCCTTGTTGGCCAGGTGGGCCTTATTCTCGGCCTTGGTCGAGGCCAGATCGTGGGTGAGGCGATCAATCTTATCCTCGGCGTGGCGGGCTTCATTCTTCAGGTCCGCCACGTCTTGATCACGGGCGGCGACGCGGTTACGCAGGGCTTCATTCTCAGCCTGCAGCCGCTTGAGTTCAGGGTCCTGCATCATGCTCGGGGCAGCACTTGGCGTGGGGTTCATCTGGTAGTACTTTTTGAGCTTCTCGCGGAAGGCATCAGCGGCCTCGGCATAGCTTGACTTGGCCACGCGCAAAAGGCGAGACATTTCTTCTTCATACTGGTTGCCGGTTGTCTTGACCGAGACGACGACTTGGCTGAGGGCAACCTGGAGCTGTTGCTGAAGGGCATCAGTCTCGCTCTGATGTTCCAGCTCTTTGAGGCGGAAAGATTCCTGGAGGCCCGAGATTTCATTCTCAAGGGCGACGCGCGCCTTGGCTTCCGAGTCGGCACGTCCTCGGTGTTTCACCAAGTCGGCCTTGAGATCCTTGAGCTGCTGGCGGGCAAGGTCGCCATCCTCCTTCTCCTCTTGTAGGCTGGATTGTGCCGAGGCCAATTGGCCCTCAAGGCGGTTGACCATGGCCTGCAGCGACTCGATGCGGCCTTGCAGACGCTCCTTGAGGCTGGTCAAACCCTGGATATCCCCTTCTGCACGCTTAAAGTCCTCCTGCAGGTTGCTGTGCTCCAGCTGCAGATCGGCATAGCGCTGCGAGGCATCGTCAAGCTCTGCCTTGGCTTGCTCCAGCTGAGCGCGCAGGGTCTCGAGAACCTCGTCGTTCTTGGGTGCCTTGACGGAAGCAAACGACTGCCAAGCACATGCCGGCACGGAAAAATGAGACAACGGTCAAGTGCGCGTTCAACCATCATGCCAAAGTTGCCCACCTCAATGTGGGTCTCCAAGGTCACGACCTGAGTCTCGAGTGCGCGCACTCGAGAGATGTAGCGTGCTATTGCAGTGGCATGGCGCACAACACAGCATCGCGTGAGAAGCACCTGTATGAATGTTCCTTTCCTGTGACGCTGCAATCAAGGATCAAGTCGTACGTACAGAGGGCATGGTTAAGGTCCTCAAGGCGTTGACGCTCAAGCTCACGCGTGGACACTTGGGCAGCCGAGTTGTCCAAGTCCACTGCGCGTCGCTGTGTGTGCATGTGCGTGGTCGAACACCCCGTAGACCGTTAGAGCCAGTAAAAGAGTGCCAAAAACGAGGGTTGCAGTTGTAGAGCTCCAGCACACACCTTGGGCGAAGGCTTGGGCGTAAAAGCCCGCGAGACAAAGCCGGAGATATCCATGACACCGACACTGGTTCAACGGCAAAAGTAAAAAAAAAAATGAAGACGTCTGTTGATCCCAGACACAGACAGCACTCGATGAGCCAGCGGGCAAGCAAAGGCACCAAACTCGAGCAAGCACGGGGGCAAGGTCCAGTGGTTGTTTCAGGTGAAAACACCAACACACACACTGTGGCAGCCTACAACGACCACCCGGCCACCCATCTAGACCCCTCATGCCGCCCATGGCACGCCCCGTCCCCTCCTCCTCGTCCACATGGGCGGTCAGGGTCATCGACCTGCCACTGCCGATGTTCTCACCAAAGAGAGAGAGAGAGAGAGAGAGAGAGAGAGAGAGAGAGACAGAGAGAGACAGAGAGAGAGAGAGAGAGAGAGAGAGACAGAGAGAGACAGAGAGAGACAGAGTGACACGCGCACATGCACTGCACGCACCTGAAGCTTGAAAGAGCGAGAGAGAGAGAGAGAAAAAAAAAGCGACGAGTGAGCGGAAAACCCCGTTGCAAGAGAAACCGCATGCGCAATCCCACAGCATGAGAGAGAGAAAAAGAAAGCGAGAAAGCGAGAGATTTGAGAGAGAGAGAGATTTAGAGAGGTATAAGCAGCAAAGAGAGAAATTTTTTGTTCTTTTTCTCTCTTAGACAGAAAGAGCTTTTGTTTGGCAGAGAGGATGCAAACGTCGTCTCTCTACTCATCAAAGTGTGCAGTCCGGCCATTCGGGGTGATGGGGTTTGGTGTGAGCTTCTGGCGTTTGGGTGTAGCAAGGTGGTTCATAAAGCCAATACATGGTGTGATCAATTTGCTTTCTAAAATACATCGGATACACGTGCACAGATGGGCTCTAGATCTGCGAGCGCGGCTTGCAGACAGAAGAGGTTCCGTGGGCATCAAGTCAGCACAGCACCACTCAGGGCGACGGACTTGAATAGAATAAAAGGCTTGTACGCCATAAACAAAAAGAGAGGGCGTGCGGCAGCGATGGGCGGATCGTGCCTCGCAAGGCACAACTTGGGAAAAAAGATCAGATCATTTAAAGAAGAAAACGAAAAGAAATAAACATGGATACGAGGCACGATGCTGGTGCAGCTGTCACAACAGCTCAAAGGCTTGGCAGGTTGCCAAGGGAGGTCAACGCAGCAGCACTCTTGGTAGCGGGGGCTACCCCCAAAGGTTTGACGGAAGTAGCACCCACCAAGCTGTCCAGCAGGTCATCAAAGGCTGAAGAGGCGGCGTCCTCGTCCTCGTACGGATTGCTCAGAGAGGCTGTTGTGCCATGATTGCTCGCAGACATGGGGCCAACTCGCACCCCGGTCAAAGCTGCTGGCGAGTGAGCATTTCCAGACTGGGTTGGTGCATCAAACGAAGCACGGCCCACAGCCACGGGCATGCCATCCAGCATGGGCATCAGTTGTACTCTAAACATAACGACAGACGCCGCAACACAGAATGAGACCTTGGCTCGACGACAAAAACACAGACCCTGCCTCGCGATCAGAAAGCCAGGTCAACAACTTCTTGCGTATGCACTCACCCTTTATGCTCATTGGCGTCGGGCACAAACGTCTTGACGGCAACATCGTCGCTAAAAGACACGGCCCGGCGCTGCATAATCGGCCGATCGCGTTTACGCAGGGACGATCGAACAGGTGTTCCATCCGCCTTGAATGCCGTGGGCTCTGGTGAAGACGCTCGCCGCTTGGGAGCGCCCAAAGAAGGAGCATTGCCCAGGCTAACGAGGTCAATGGAGCGGCTGCGCCCCGTTGCCTTGCCGCGACCCCGTGGCGGTGGCACTTCGGTGGGCGCGGCAAACACACTCCCCTCTTCATCCACGGACTCTGTTTCTTCCAATCGGTTGTCGGCCCCTTGCTTCGACGAATCCGCCTCATGCATCAAAGTCCCAGCCGAGGTGGCCTCTGTTGCATGGCTAAGCTCAGCTGCCACTGCAGCGTCTTTTGTCACGGACAACGTGTCGGATGAATCCTCTTTGTCGTTTCCAACTGAGGCGGTGGCATCATCCAGTGCGTTTGAAGCCTCCGGGCCGTCTTGGCCTTCGTGCTCGGGCTTGGCGTCATCACTCGTGGACTCGTGACTGTGTTCCTCCACCTTGTCTTCCGAGGCAGCGGGCGCCTCAATCTCAGCTTGAGCGGCATCCTCGGGTAGCGGAGATGATTCATTCTCATCAGCCGTAGGGTCCTTAACATCCTGAGCCACGCCCGTCCTTGTCATAGCCTCGGTAACCACGCCATCGTCGGTCCGAGACCCCACGGATTCAACCTCAGCAGTTGAGGGCGCCGATGCCAAAGTCTCCCCTTGAGGCTCATTTTCGGTCTCGTCGTGAGCTTTGCGAGCTTCGTGCTGAGCATCAGCATGCGGCGGCATCTCAGCCAACATGTTTTGCTCAGCCTCATTCGCAGGCGAAGTGACAGCTGCCAGGGCGTTTGCGACGAGAACATCCGCAAATGTGTCTAAATCGCCGTCCTCTGGCTCTGAAATGTCATCATCCATCTCAGCCTCGATGGCTGGTTGAGAAACCTGACTCGCTGCAGCATCTTCATCATCCTTGCTGACGGGGCCAGCTAAGCTTGACATTGTCATCGGTGTCGGCGTAACGGGCAAATTACTTTTCGCTTCGTGTTGACCATTCTCGTCGGTATCATCCACATTGTGTTCGTGATGCGCTCCGCTGGCCCCATCATCTTCTTTGGATTCGCGACGTACAGCAGCTTGTGCGCCTGTCGCAACTGCCTCCGTCGTTTCGCTTTCGCCTTGTAAGATGGCTGCATCGTCCGGCTCTGAAATGTCGCTGGCCTGGTCATCCTCCTCCTCCTTGCGATCTACAATGTCCTCGGTGCGTTTGGAACCATGTACACCTTCTGTGTCATTTGCACCCCCGCGTTTTGCGTCCACTATTGCGTCTGGTTGATCCATATCTGGTGCATCAGACTGCTGAGATGGTGCAGGAGGATCCTCGAGCTCATCAGGATTTGAGATATCACTGGCTTCGCTAGCATCGTCTGGTGCATTGCTTGGCTCCCCTTCATTCGCGGGTTCTTCAGTAGCTCCTGCGTGCAAATCCTCGGGTGCACCAGGGTCCGTAATGTCACTCGCATTGTCTGGGGCATCTTCTTCAGCTGCCTCTTCTGCTGCGTTGGTTTCGGGAGTCTTGTGTACAAGATCCGTGGCCTCTGCCGCAGCTCGTTCTTTTGCAAGATCCAAAGGGGCAGATTCAGCATCCATCATTGCTGGCTCCGCCTCGTCATGCAAAATAGCCGGTTCAGAAATGTCCGACTCGGCATCGTCGTCGTTTGATGCGTCGAGGGCAGCCTTTGGCACATCATTCGAGGCGGCGATGGCGTCTTGAGCCGGAGATTGCTCTGTGACAACTGCTTCTGAATCCGTTGTAGGATCGTCAAGAGTCGATTGGGAGACCTCTGGTTCAACGGCCTCTGTTTGAGCATCCTCTGCTTCTGCGGCCTCTGGTCCAACGGCCTCTGTTTGAGCATCATCTAATTGAGCATCATCTAATTGAGCGTCCTCTGGTTCTGCGGCCTCTGGTTCTGCGGCCTCTGGTTGAGCGTCCTCTGGTTGAGCGTCCTCTGGTTCTGCGGCCTCTGGTTCTGCGGCCTCTGGTTGAGCGTCCTCTGGTTGAGCGTCCTCTGGTTGAGCGTCCTCTGGTTCTGCGGCCTCTGGTTCTGCGGCCTCTGGTTCTGCGGCCTCTGGTTCTGCGGCCTCTTGTTCTACGACCTCTGGTTCTGCGTCCTCTAGTTCTGCGGCCACTGGTTCTGCGTCCTCTGGTTCTGCGGCCTCTGGTTCTGCGGCCTCTGGTTGAGCGTCCTCTGGTTCTGCGGCCTCTGGTTGAGCGTCCTCTGGTTCTGCGACCTCTGGTTGAGCGTCCTCTGGTTGAGCGTCCTCTGGTTCTGCAACCTCTGTTTGAGCGACCTCTGGTTCTGCGGCCTCTGGTTCTGCGGCCTCTGGTTGAGTGCCCTCTGCTTCAGCGTCCATGGACTCGGGTTTAGTATCTTTTGACCGAGCATCACCATTAAGTGAGGCTACGGACCCTTCATCTCGAGCCGCAGATGGCTCATTGGTACTCTCCTCCAGATCGTGAATGCTGGTGCGACGCAAAACATCCTGTAAAGCGGCGCGCATTTCGGCCAGCTCACGAAGCTCGGCTTCTTCAGCAGCTAGTTTTGCTTGCATTGCCACCTCGGCCTCGGAAGGTTCCGAAGGACGCCTCGGTGCTGAGCGGTTGCGGCTTGCACGAATGTTGAGGCGGCGCCGTGATGCACGCTGCTCGTCACGCGGTGGTCGTGGTCGGCGACCAATTCGTTCGCTAGTCACCGCTTCCTCAGTGTCATCCAAGCGCTCTTGCTTCACACGCGCCTCCAGCGCCGCAAGATATGCCTGAAAGAAACGGACGTGGACAATTAACTTTCACGAGCAGATCAATACCATTTAGGCGAAGGGGGGGAAAACAAAAAGCAAGCGAACAAACCTTGGCGCGAGCCATTTTGTCGATGGTTTCTGCCTGTTGATGCTGGGCCAGAATGTCCTCTCGGCGCAAAGCTCCCAGGGTGCGGCTCGCCACATCATCTTCCGCAAGTGAGAAGACGGTGGCGGCGAGTGACGAGGTCCGAGCCACATCGTTTTGCTGTACAACACCCGGCCCACGCGTGGTAGGCGTCGCGCTGACCAAGCCTTCTTTGAGAGATATGGTGCTGCTGTAATCAGGGACAACAGCATCCATGCGTGCGAGTGACACCTCGGTTTGAAGAGAGAGCATGCTGGCAATTTGCAAGCACGCCGAGTGCATGTCAAGGGCCATAACAGCAAGATCGGAAGCCAGCCAGCCATCGGTGTCGGCGTGGCGATGGCTTTCACCTGCAGCAGGGTCGGACGTGGCCAGAAGATCCAAAGCAGCGCGATGTGCTTCCTCATTCAAATGGTCTTCGCTATGGTTGACAGTATCTGCCAACGCCTCTCGGGCCAGGATGCATGTCTGCAAAAAAGCGCGGACAAGGGCTAATGCCTCCTGTGCAGCTGTGGATGGACCGGCTTCCGGGGTCGGTGGGCGCAGGCGCTGGACATGCCCCAAAGCCGAGATGGCCCCTGCATCCATGCGCCAGGCACCCACCAGCTCAAGGTGAACACTGGCATGGGCCACGGCACGGAGTGCATCGTGCAGCTCAACGTTGGGGAGGTAAAGTTCTTCAGCCGTCAAACCGAGGCACCGCTGCAAGGTGCTTAAAGCCTGTTGTGGCTGGCTCCTTGGCTCAATGCGAGCTAGATACACGTCCAAGCCTTCCACCGGCGAGTGGTTGGCTGTTTCCCAGACGGCACGCGCAAGGTTGAGGCAGCCTAGTGCAACTGACGCATGCAGATGGTTTTGATGCAAAGCATGAATGCTTGCGCGGCGTTGGTCGTCCCCTGCTGTTGGTGGCATCGGCTTGTCTGCCGGGTCCTTCACGGACGTAATCGCCTGCGCGTAGCTTTTTGGGGTCGTTACAAGATCTTCGGGAGCATCCTTGTTTGCAGCAGCAACGGCAGTACCACCTTCTTCACTTGCAGAAGCATGGCTTGTTGAAGCATCAGCCGAGATTGTGTCTGCTTCGGAACCTTTTTGGTCTTGCACAGCCACTTCTTCATCAAGGCTGAGCTGAGCGGCTTGGTTGTCGGATGGATGATCTTCGTGACTCGCAGCATTCACAGTTTCACCAGAGTCGGACGTGGGGACATTGGTGTCGGTCGCCTCGTCTTCAAAATCGTCCTCATAGTCATCGGGGGCAGCGGGGTCTGTAAGTGCTGCCTGTGGCGCCACGGCAGCTTCTAGGTCATGTCCAGTCGTGTCAGCGGGTTCTGGTCCAGTTTGAGGGTTGTCCAAAGGGCGAGAGATGGGTGACTCTGAGTGATTTGCGGTCACAGGCAGTACAATATCATCGCCATCATCTTGGTCGGGGATTGCTGTCTGATTCTGACGACCGTGATCGGGGCTGGTTGCTGCCGCGGCATCGGCTTGCATCACCGGTTTCTGCTCAATAGTTTGTGCTGCCGTGCCGAGAGCGCGTGGTCCGGCCACTTCTCCATCTGCATCTTCATCATCGTCCTCAAAGAGCACATCCTCTGCATCGCCATGAGCTGTCATATCATCCAACTCGGCTTGTAATGCAGCAAAGCGCGCTTGTTGAGCGCGAGAATCAGCTGCGGAGACCTGGCGTTTCTGTATGCACGCATACATGTTGGGGCATGAGCGATGTGGTCATGGTCACATCGTACAAGCAGGGTCAAACAAACGGAGAGAAACAAAAAAAAAAAAAAAAAGGTCAAAAAAGAAACAAAAAGGAAGAAAAAAAAATATCCAGAGAAGACCCAAATAAGGAAAGGGCCAACGAAACATAAAGGAGCCAGCAAGCAGATCCTACCGCTAGGACTCTCCGCACTTGGGCATCTTCATGATCCAGATGATGTCGCAGACGGCATTTGATGCAGGGCACGCCACCACGAATCTCAAGCAATCGGAAACCCATGCCACGAACGCCAATGTATTTACCACTCTCGTGACGATATTCACAGCAGGCAGCGATGCGACCAAAGGACTTGTTGTCGAGGTAAAAGGTCAGCCCCAAAGGCTCATCACCACGACGTAAGGAGTGAACTTCAAAGACAGAGCCCGGCGGTAAGGAGGCTACCTCGAGGACCTTGGTGGCGCCGCCTTTGCCAACCTGGGGGAAGGGGGAGTCACAAATCCAATGACCGAGATGCCATGGGCATAGAAGAAAGAAAAGAAAGAGCTCCAGACATGGCCAAGCAGCGTCCAGCCCACCTGTTGCTCGACGCGGAGTGAGGGATATCCTGCAATGGTTGTGTCATGGGCCACAGCAAATTGGCCACTATATTCAAAAACCATCGTAGCGGTTTCTAGCTGCTGGCGTCGCCGTTGGATCGAGGTGGAAGGCGTCATGCTAGCGTCGCTGGTCGGGCGCAGGCGGCGTTGTCCGGAAGCTGTGGGAGCCCAGAACAGAATGAGACGGGCTATCAGAGAACGGTCAGGGCTGCAACCAGAGAGAAACAGCGAGTTAGCGCATCTCCACTTGTGTGGCCAACATACCGGGACGCTGGTGTAGACGGGCTGGGCGGTGCATATCTATGGCCGACAACAAATAGGGTTGGGGCCACAGGAATGAGGCAAAGACATCACAGAGAGAGAGAGAGAGAGAGAGAGAGAGAGAGAGAGAGAGAGAGAGAGAGAGAGAGAGAGAGAGAGAGAGAGAGAGAGAGAGAGAGAGAGAGAGAGAGAGAGAGAGAGAGAGAGAGAGAGAGAGAGAGAGAGAGAGAGAGAGAGAGAGAGAGAGAGAGAGAGAGAGAGAGAGAGAGAGAGAGAGAG